TTTCTTTCGCGCATATTATTTTTATCCATATTATGTAATTGCTCAGAGGATGTAATAGCTTTAATTAAGACCTTTTATTGCTTTTCTTTAATTTCCCGCAATTTACTTTTCAAGGGTTTGTTTTTGGCGATGTAAATACCTGACGCCTTGTAATAGCGTAGATTTATTTTCCGCAATATTTAACTGTTAGATGTATGTTAACTAGGCTATGCATGACAAGACTTATCTCTGAAATTAAAATCAATTTGTAGCTCACCATAACATGTGCAAAGATAATTTAACTGAATCCTGACACACTCGCACATGCCACTCCTAGGGTACGCCTCACTTGGTTGCCTCGACGTGGTCATTGAGTATAGGGTGCTTTAGAGGTCGCCCTCCTGTCTAAAGATCCAAGTTGCCTCGGAACGGTTGCCTCAGATAAAAAAATATCTAAGACATTAGGGTTACCGCTAAGGCGTCCTACTATTGCTTTGGTGACCACATGTCCCATATAATCGAATTGACCCGAATAACTCCAACGACGGTGCTACCTACTTCTCAATAGTGGGATAGTACTGTCTAAAGGACATTTACACAGCTTAATTTCTTTTGAGTAGGTAGAGGTTCTCAGGTACTTGCTCTTTCAAAACAAAAATACTTTTCGCACTTACACTTTTCCTACAAAAGTTTTCAAACAAACACTTCATACACTCTTGAGGACTGATACAAGAGTTAAAGCGAAGTTTTCAAAACAAACTTTTTCAAAACCCACAAACACAAGAAAAGCAAACTCTTTTGAAAACATAGTGAGCAAGTACCTAAGAGCCCATGGATAACCACGGATAGAAAGGGTGCTAACACCTTCCATTTCTATAATCTACCTCCTGAACCGAGAAACATCTCGAAAAGGAATTTTGTTGTGCTTTTGTCCTTTCCTTGTTGGAGAAAATAAAAGACGGTGGCGAATCTTGCTTACCGCGACATTTCGTGAACCAGCATTTCAAAACAGTCAGTTCTATTTCCACCGATCACACACGTATGAAGAATACTTATCAGACTCGCCTTCACAAGGCTTTGGATGAAATTGAAATGATAATATGATTTATACTAATTGACACAACTTGTCAATACCAAAACAGTTATTCAACTCTTTGACAACAGATTAGAACTTCAAGTATATTCCTCGAATCTTTTGTGATTCTTTGAAACTTCGGAGAATCAATGCCAATAGCCATAACTTTGCCTTCACCTTATATTTACAAGGACCTTGGAAGAGTAGGTCACTTAGAATATGCCTTTATTTTATTCTTTTATCTCATAATAATTTCCACCATAATAATATGAATGATGTCCATCTTTACTTAGAGTTAATCTAGAACAACCTTCAAGACAAACCTCACAATACAAAAATGTACATACTTTAAAAAGTTGTTAGTTCAATCCTGGACGAATCAAATCTTAGAAAAATATTTTAAATTCAATTGATGTTTGGAGAAAATATTTTCAAGATTTTGCTTTGAAATAATATATATAATGTACTGTAATGAATAATCAGGTATAAGTAAATCAATCTAACTTCATCGGTAAATCATTGAATTTCATAAGCTTCCAAACTTCTAGAAAAACTCGTCTAGGATCGAAGGAACCATATCCTCAACTTTTAGAGTCGCAAGACTTTGATCAAAAGCCCCTATCTAATACCAAGTTTTGGGTGAGAATATTGATAATCATAGGTCTAAAAGGGGGGTTGAATAAACCCTTTCCTAATTAGTAATATTCAAAAACAATTTAGGTCCTATGTACGAAATCATAGATTTAAAGAGATGCGGAAGCAAAACACAAAACAAGATATCTTGAAAGAATCTCAATGTATCAACCCATATGAAATAGTACATGATGTTCTATATGCATTTGACTGCTTCGAATGCAAGTCAATCACAAGACTACTCAAATAGCTTTTCAACAAAGTTATTTCAAAACACATAGCTCATGAATTCTAACAAGACATAATTGAAGTCATGATACTTAAATAATATTGATACACCACATACCAAAGCTTATACATTAAATTTTTATAAGCAAATTCTAACTTGTGTGGCATACAATCAATGTAAAAATGTAATGATGCAATGGTATAGTAATGAATACTAGAAAAGTGAAAGAGGTAAGGGGATAAGACAATATATATATAACGATATATAGAGGTTCAACTGTCGTCCTTGCATTTCCTACTCCACTCTTCAATGGTGTTAAAACCTTTGAAAAATAAACACGATGTTCCACTCTTTTGATAAGTTTGATTACAACATTTTGATTGCAACAAACTATCGTACGATAAGTATCCTTGTTGATGCAGACACAAAAAATGCTAACAAAAGTCAAGATCACTAAACGATCTTGATCTAATAACCTTGCTACACAATAATTCTGCTCCAAGTATTCGTATGTGAGAATCCACCTGATTCCACCAATCTCTTGTCTGAGCAATTTTTAGAGCCAACCATTAATAGACAACTCTCAACTTTGTGTGTGAGTAATCTTTCTCCAACACCGTCAAAGATGGATAACTTTCATCCCCGCTTTATGGACAATTGATACTTGGTATCGCCAAAGTCTTCCTTAGCATATAATGCAAATTCTATTCTTGGAGAATAACAACAAACACAAACTGCATTCAAGAAATGATACTTACACTTGGTATAAATAAAAAACTTCACATAAAAATAATAGTAATCCTAATGTGCCATTAGAGTCCCTCAATACTCAATCTTTAAAGATGAAGATTCTCATAGAATCAATATTAAAGAGGAAGATGATGACCCACTTTTCGGATTGTCTATTGTGGTTCCTTCAATTTATCACACTCACGTAGGTATTGAGGTAAAGTTACCTACCACAATTAAATTAAGTGAAAATAATAGTAACAAACAAGGATATTATATTATATCTTATGCTATCTTATTTGCAAAAAAATACTCCAAATGAACACTACAGTGTTGTAACTAACAAGAATGATGATTAATAGAAAACAAGAATGATTTATATTAGAGATATCAATTACTAACAACAAGAGCCATCTAATAAAGCTGTTTGTGATAGCAGCAAAAAATATTGAAAAAGCATATTATTTTTAATTTGGTTTCACATGCAGAACTTGGTGCTTCTTCATAACACTTTTTTAATATTTTAACAAAAGAAAAATTTACATTCTTTTCATCTAATCTTACTGTTAACAAGTGATGAATGAGATTTAATGATCTTCTCAGTAAGGTTTTGTTGGTATCTTTGACGGTATATCTATACGATAACATAATGAAAAAACAAAACATGGGCTAGTCAAATATCTCTTTGGAACCATATAGTATATGTTAATTTCGTATAACTTAATATTATGTTAAAAATTTAACTATTTATTTACTTAGTTTAGTGGAAAAGCAGCACCTCGCAATACTTTTAAACATGTGTTCGAGCAAAAATTTTAGTGTTATATTTTGCTTAAAATAAAATTGGAAAAAAAAAAACTAAATTTGAAACTTGGTGAAAGCAAAATTTTTAGTGTTATATTTTGCTTAAAATAAAATTGAAAAAAAAAACTAATTTAAAATTAAAAAAATATTAATAAAAACCAGATATCAATATAAAAATAAAATACAATTAAAAATAAAAAAGTACGTGGATTTAAAAAGTTAATATATACTTAAAAAAAAGTTTTAAAAAAAATAAACAAATAAAGTTAAAAAAAATTTATGTGGATTAAAAAAAAATCATATGGACCGCCATGTAAACAGTTAGAGAAAATCTTTACTGCAATGTGATAGTCAGAAAATATTTGACGGAATCTGAAAATTACGAAGAAAAATTTTTTTTATTAGAGATTAAAAAGAAATCTCACTAACATTACATGAGGTGTTATATATTTAATTCTTAAATAAAAGATGGAAAATTGGATTTTTAACATGTGATGATTCAAATCAAGAAGGAAATATGATTCAAATCAATATGGAAAGACCCTAAAGAGACATTTTTTAAAGCTTATGATTCGAATCAAGAATAACACATAATTCGAAATAAATGAGATTGTGACTCGAATCAAGTTCAAAATACAATTCAAATCATTTTATCCAGAAACTTTTTCAATTTTTCAAAGGTGAATGATTTGAATCTACAACCATTCATGATTTGAATCAAATACTAAAATATTTAAATTTAAAAGTTCTAACTTGTGATTCAAGTTACGCCTATGAAAATGACAAAATAACAATTTCATTGGCTCAAAAAAATAAAATACCAATCAAGGATCAAGTTAATATTATTATTGAAATGTAGAAGGTTCTCATTAGTACAATCTAATAATAATAGCTGAAGGGATTATAAACAAATTCAAATAATAAAAACATACAAACACACAAATATGATATTATCCAAATTACAAATATGCAAGACTTATCGATCAATAATCAAATTAACAAAAACATCAAAAACACAAATATACTTGAAACACATACAAGGTACCAAAAGATATGTTTAAGTGTTGTATATGTTGTCTTATTTGTGTTTTAATTTAAAATAATGAAACAAAACTCACAACTTCATGTTTTAATAATGAAACTTACCCTTTACCATTATCTATTTCAATGTCGCCAGAACCAATAGGTGTTCTTGTTGAGATTAAGGAATTGGTGTTTTATACACTATCAAATGTACTTTTTGGACTATAGGTGATTAGTTTGAATTATGTTTTGTTGATGCAAGCAATGATTTGTAATAGAAAGAAACCATATTAACATAACTGTTGATTTATCCTAGCTTATTGGTGGTTTTACTTGAATGCCATAACCTCTTCATGTCATATGCAAGCTAGAAAAAACATAATATATTTGTTATAAATTCAACACAAGGAAATAAAAATACGACTCTTCTTAAGATTGATATAACTACATAATATTGATGTAGTGAAATATTTTAATAGAAACTACAAATCAAATAATCTTCTTAAGAGAGCTCTCCATTACACATGTTTATTTTTTAGCATCATATGTGCTTCTTGCAGCATCCGCAGCCTCTTGTGCCTTTTCTTTCATTAGTTGACCAGCCTATAACAATAAAATATTGTTATCAATCACTAAATTTGCTTTAAGCTTCAATGGATATTATATTGACGTTAATTATCCTATAAGTTAATTTTGTAAAATTGAATTAGACTCATTCTAAATTATTCAGATGCAATCATTATAACAAAATTGTTATAAATGTACAAACCTCTTGGCAATATTCTTTGGTAGATTGAGCAACATTGCTTGCCTTGTCCATCATATTGCTTCCCTTTTCCTAAATTAACAACAACTTTACATCAAATAATCATCATGCTACAATAATTTTAAACATATAGATATAATTAATATAAATAATTAATGTTGACACTAATAAGTAACCTGAGCTTGACCAGTGGCTTGGCCTGCTTGTTGGCTTATATTTTGGGATTGATTCATCTTTAATTTATGTTTTAGGATTTTGAAAAGGAATGAAAGTAACTCAAAATAATGCTACTTTTCTTGGTGATTGTAATTCATAATTGTGTGGTGTATATATAGTTCTTCATATTTGTATGGTGAATGACACATGTAATTATTTGCACCATTTATTAAAGATGCTTTTGTTTGGGCTTAAGACTAGGAACTTTGTAAAACTGTTGTAAATTGACTCTTATTAAAATCATCCTACTAAAAATAGAAAGTACATTACTATTCAATATTTTAATATTTTAAAAATAAAATAAATGTAAGAATACTGAATTTTAAACCTACCAAATTAAATATAACATAAATTTCATTTTAAATTGGATTTAATCGTGAGTTTTCTTGTTCGGTAAACATCATAAGGTGTTCATTATGAGTCTTTTTAACATGAGACAAGGACACTCTGAACCCCTGCATGAATACTTAACACGTTTCAATAAAGCCACCATCAAAGAGTGACGCGGGGACAGACCTTTTTGTACTGTTGTCTATCAGTCTCACCATGATCGTTGGGAACAATACAGCTGTATTTGTATTTCCTATTCTATTCTCCAATGGATCTCTTCTTTTCAGCTATAAAAGAATTACTTAAAAGAATTTGAAATCAACAAATCAATTCAATAAATCTATACTAAACCATTGCATAAAAACTCTGTAGAGAAATCTTATTTTGTATAGTTTTATAAATAAGCAAGGAGTTGTTGCTCGTATCTTGCTATCAACACTTTTGTGTTGTTGTACTTTAAAATTATGTAATTTGCTTTTGTAGAAACATCTTTGTATACACATCTTGGTAATCAGCTGTTGTTGACAGATTCCTTGAGAGACTCTGTGTAGTCTGAGTTTTCAAGAAGACTTTGGTCGCGATCATATTGGTTTGAAATAAGGATCAGTTGATTTATTTGGGGTTCTAATAGGGTTGATCGAACTTATTGTGGTTGTCTGTAATCTGATTGATTATAATGGATTAAGTCCTTGTGTATAAGGCAAATCACCTTGCAAGATGGACTAGAGTAACTTAGTTAACAGTGAACTAGGATAAAAATAATTATCTTCATATATTTTTATTCACTTGTTATCTTTGTGTTTTGAGTTGCAAAAAGATTATATTTGGTGCAACCCAATTCAAACCCCCCTTTCTTGTGTTTCGCGCACCTTCAATTGGCATCAGAGTTCTGGTTCTAGTATTAATATTTATCAAATGCTTAACCGTGTTAGATAAATATTCAGACGAGTTTTAGAAATACTATGGTTAGTCCTGTTCCACCACCACCTGCTCCAGTTTCTAATAAAGATAACTATAGTCTAAACCTCCCATTTTTATGGTGAAAAATTTGAGTAATTGAAAGATAGACTAGAAAGTTTCTTTCTAGGTCATGATGTTAATCTCTGGGATATGTTAGTTAACGACTACGAACATCCTACATATGAGAATGGAAAGCAGCTTGAGAAGAAAGCTATGATTGATCAACAAAAGAAGAATTGTAAGAATCATCATAAAGCAAGAACTATCTCGTTGAATGCCATTTCTTACATTGAGAATGAGAAGATCACAAATAAAGACTCAACTAAGTCTATATTTGACTCTCTCAAAATGACTCATGAAGGAAATGATCAAGTCTAGAAAACCAAGGCTTTGGCCTTGATTCAAAAGTATGAAGCCTTCAAGATGAAGGATGATGAAACAGTTGAGATGATTTTCTCAAAGTTTCAAACCTTAGTTGTAGGACTGAGAGTTCTAAACAAAGGATATTCAACAGCAGATCACGTGAAGAAGATTATCAGAAGCTTGTCATCCAAATGGAGGCCTATGGTAACTACGCTCAAGCTTGTAAAAGGATCTGAATAACACTTCTCTAGAGTAACTGATGAGTTCTCTAAAAAGTCATGAGATGAAGATAAATCAAGATGAACCTCAAAAAAGAGGGAAATCTATTGTGCTCAAATCTATTATAAAATATGAGAAGTCTAAAGCTCTTCAAGCTGAAGAGATTGAGGATTCATAAGAATATTCTAATGAAGATGAAGATGAAAATGAGTTGTCTCTACTATCTAGAAGGGTTAATCGTCTCTGGAAGAAGAATAAAAGCAACAGGTTTAGAAGTACTAGAAGGACAAGAGATCGCTTCGAGTCTACTTCTGATCAAAGGAAGTCTAGTGCCAAAAAAGTCACTTGTTATGAGTGCAACGAGCCAGGACACTACAAGAATGATTGTCCTTTACTCCAGAAAAACAAGTACAAGTAGAAAGCTCTCAAAAGCAAGAAGAAAGGGTTGTTGGAAACTTGGGATGAGTCTGACTCCTCAGTAGATGACTCAGAAGAAGAACGTGCTAATATAGCACTGATGGCTCAAGTTGAAACGTCTGTTGAAAGAATCCCTCCAAAATATAAAGCAAAATCATATTCAGACACATAAGAGATTTTCTCCAAAGAGGTATTTTCTGACCTTACTCATTTTGAATTAACTTCTTCTTTAGTTGAAATTCTGGAAAAACACGAGTTACTCAAGATTAAATTCCAGGAAGTTAAAAAGGCCCATGAATCCATATCTTCTGAAAACAACAAGCTTAAGGAATATTCCCTCAATTTTTAATGAAGAAATTTTCTTTCTCAAAGATGAGAACTCTGTCTTCAAAGGAACGAGAACTGTTCCAAAAGTATCTGAGAATACTGATGATGTCATCATGAACTATGACAAAGATTTCCAGAAATTCCTAGCCAGAAGCATAGGGAGAAGCATGATGGCTTCTATGATCTATGGCGTTAGCAGAAATGGAACCAATGGAATTGTTTATAACTCCTATGAAGAATCTAATTATGATAAGGAAAACAAACCTAATACTCTTCATTCCAACTTTGTCTTTGTTGGGTTTGTGCCTAAAGAAAAAGGAAAAGAAAAATAGGAATCTGCTTCTGAACCTAAAGAAAAACCTGTGGCTAAATCATATAGGTTTAATTCTTACAAATATGATTATTCTTCTGTTAAACCTGAGGTTATTAAAAACTCTGGGGATCTAACAAGAGAGGACCCAAGAAACTATGGGTACCCAAAAATCAAATAATCTATTATAGATATTCTTAGCAGTGTTGTTAAAACACATGTTTTGGTACCTGGACTCTAGCTGATTACAACAAGAGAGAAGGCATATGTTTATAAGCCTGAAACTTCAGCCTGAAGGCATTTGGGAAAGGGATCCACTATAGAAGATAGTAAAGTCAGATTCTCCAAGGAGTGGTCTCTGGCTATTTTTGATGAAAACTACAACACTTCAGAGAGACTCTGTTAAATGAGGAAGGTATTTACTCTCTGCACTTAGTTCCTCAGAGAATCATATAAGATATGGTACCTCAATCCAATGGAGTTCTCATACTATCAGAAGCGTCCCATTCAAATTTGTTTAACATCTCTGTCTGTTGGTTTCTAAAAAACTACTTCATTAATTGTGTTGATAGAAAAGTGAATGGTTAATGATTCAATATAAGACACTTGTCTATTCTGTACCATGCCTTGCATTTAATACGATGCTTTGGGTATTGAGATTATATTAGGATTATAGTGATAAATCTTTATGCTTTCCTCCCTATCTTATCAGTTTTACTATTCTAGGATTAGTAATCATTTCTAAAATCTTTTTCAAAAACCTCTCACCTCATCTTTCTCAGTTTCACCCTCCTTGCGCTACAAAGTCATCTTTTAAGCCCTAATTTCCCAAAAACCTAAAACCATTTGTTCTTATTTACTCCTATCTAAAAATGGCTTCATCCTCGCTAATTAATCAACAATCTATCCAACAACAACAAACTCTAGAAAACAATGATCCTATCATAACTCTGGCTATCCCAATTGATAAGCTTTACGTTATCTCCGAAATGATAGTAGACTTTGAAAATCTTGCCTGCCATGGTTTTGACCTCTATGATACGTTAAAGTCTCAAGGGTTGGAACCCTACTTCAATCTTCTCAAAGGTCCTACATTTCCTACTCTATTCAAAGAATTTTGGTCTAACGCCTTCATCTCAAACCAATGTTTAATTTTCTCCAAGATTTTTAGGAAATACATCTACATTCGTGAAGAAGATATTGCAAAACTCATCCACCATAATGGTTCAGGGATACATTGTCATAGCATTAGAAATGATTGGGAAACACAAAGGAATACAGCTTATGAAGATATTATTCAAAAAATTATTTCAGTCATCTTTAAAATTGGTAGAGACTCTCAAAAGGCATCTGACCTTTTTGATATCATAAGAGTATGGTTCAACATTTTCTTTAGCAGCTTCTTTCATAGAAGTTCAATAAATTATGTTAATCAAATTGATATAGATCACAAGTTCTTGCTATACAATTCGACCTTGGGTGAATATATCAACCTACCAGGTTGTCTCATAACTTATTTGCATGGTGCTATCAGATTCTCCAAGAAGATCTCAAAAAATCAAAGGAATTGGATTCCTTATGAAAGGTTAATCTCTGCCATCTTAATCGAAAGTAAGTTTGTAGAAAACATGAACCCTTAAGTTTTATCAGAGGCTTTGACTGGTAATCCCTTCAATGGTGAGGACTTATTTGAAATATCCTTAATCTCAAAAGTAATCAAGTTACTGAAAACTTTGATCAAATGGATATTTCTCAAAGAAGAAACCCCACAAAAATTTCTCCAGAGAAAGTCATTAAAACCCCTCCCTCTGCAACTGATCATAAAGTCTCTCTTTCAATTTCTCCTATTAAGAAAAGGAAACAATCAAAGTAAGATTTTCCTTCTAAGTATAAGAAGAAATCCAAGAAACTCAATTCAAAAGAATAAACTCTTGGAATTAAGAAAGATGGTCCAATCACGTCTGATACTCCTTCATCCAAAGATATATCTACAAACCCACTCAACTTCTCCACCTCAGCTATCCGATATGTTTCCAAACTTGGAACATAATCCTCTCAGAAAAATCCATTGGTTTCAGAAGCATGTCCTTC